GGCACCGTTGTTTTATCACGATGCGAGATACATACATACATGTATGCAGATTCTTCATTATTCAGTTTCTTTAAATATGACACAGGGCGATAATAATTGGTGGCAACAATTTGAAAAGTGAAACGAACATTTAAAGTTTTCAACGCAAAATACTAAAAGAAAATTAATAGCCCTTCTGGGCTAACGCCTTTTGGGCTTAAAAAGAAACTCATTACTTTTAGGTCATTTTGTGTATTTATGTATTTGTTAATTAATGATATATTTTATTACATGCGTTCTTAGTCATATGTCATTTAGGATACGAGGACTTTTCAAATTTTAATTTGCCGCCAAATACAGCTTAGCATTTATAACTGGAATATAACTCTTTTAACGTTTAAAACAATTATGAATGTGATTTAGAGACTAAGCGATTTTCAATTTTAATTTTGCTGTGAAATGGGGTAAACTTAATGAATTTTGAAATTATGTCAAAAATTTTACTTTAGGTTAGAGGATAGGCTTAGATATTCAAGAAGAAAAACTTATCTTCATTCTTTCTTGCTTACCAAAATTAAATATGTAAATTTAGTTTTGTTCTTTATGTTTAAAATCATATTTTTAGCTTGAAGCAGAAAATTCTCTTCCTGGCTTCTTCGAAATACATAGAACTTTTGCATAAAACCTATGTCTGTCACTTAAGGCTGACTTTCTGCTTAATTTAAATTTTACAGCCAAAAACAAATTATAGAGAGAGTATAAACTTGAACAAATTGCAATCATAAAAGTTGATTTTCTGATCAGTATGCCGTTTCTAAATGAGGAATATTTGATATTACGCTTTCCTGAAAGTATCAAAACCTTGAACTATTGTAGAGTCGGCTCATATTTTGTGATCAGATATAAATCCTGTTACCTGTTGCATTGAGGTAATCGGATAATACGGATATAGCGTCAATACATGAAAATGCATCTATATCCCGAAGAAATGTTTCTATTTGAAGCTATGGTTATTCGTAATGGTAAGAAGAGTTTGGAAAGAAATATACTAATTTATACATGACTTTATACATGACTGAAAAAAATTCTAAAATGTTAAACGATAATAATAGAAATATTTGACTGATTACATATATCATTTCATAGCCTTCGTGTGTCCAAAATTAGATCTTCTATTTGATCAAAACAATTGCCTTGATCTAAACAATTCCTTATAGGGTTATAAGTCGAACCCTATAAGGACGAATACAACCGAACCCTATAAGGCACGAAGAAATCTCATCTGAGTTTTAAACAGTCAAATGTCATTCATGTTCTCAGAATTTATTTCCTGGGATTTTCCTGAAGAAATCTTACAATAGATATGGCTTATAATTCCTCTTGCAGTTTATCCTTTTACTAAATTAATGCTACCACTCTTCTGAATGAAGTTGCCTCGAAATACGAAAGCTATCGTTCCAAGATTAATGAATCTCTTTATGTTATAGTTTAAAATATTTTTTTTGAAAAATTCGATGAGGCTTTGGATATTTCGATAAAAGCGCAATTTCTGGCATTGTCCTTTTAGGCGCAGCAATTAACAAAAGTATGATAAAAAAAAAGTTAGGTAAATGTGCTCATAAAACAAACAAAAACATTTCTTACCTGAATGAGAAAACACGCTCTGTAATTCTTCTTTCATTGTTTCCAATGCTCTTTTGACAACGACTGTACAGTTACTGCGCGCAAAGTCATCTTCCGATATTTCATACAGATCCCTAGTCACGCGGCTGTCAATGGCTTAGACATCCAAAAATTATTGTCCGTTTAAGGCTCGTTTAGAATGCAGGAGCAGGCAAAGTCTACTTGAGCATGATCAGGTGATTACGATAGATGATCGAGGTCTAAACTTTTCCATGATGAAAGCCGAACGTGACTGTGCATTGGCACTGAAAAGGAACTAAAAGTCTGCCTCGATGTCTTCTGGACATACACGATGAATTCTTTGCATAAACTTGCCAGAACGCCCATGCATTTGTTAGCATTATTTGTTGCGTTTTCTGGCTAACATCTTTTTCGCATTTAGTATATTACCTCGCAACCAGAAGTCGTAGGCCTACTATTACGAATAGCGTCTTCAAGGAAATCAAGACATCCCAAAAACATATCGTGACTTTCTTTCGCAGATTCAGCAGACTTGAAACAGAAAGTTAAATTTGTTTGCTGCTCCATTTTACAACCACTGATATACCTTTGCATAGTAGATTGTTACTAAAAGAAATTTGTAATGCCTGTTCCTACCCCTACGATCGAGCAAGTTCAAACACGTTATGAAGTATCTAAGCCGCACTTAGTTTTCCAGCCACGACTGGCATCATGGACCTTATAAGGGAGGTCCATGGTGGGCATCTTATGACGTCATTCACCGAACTTTACAGTCATACCATCTATTTCAAAGTAACAATGGTGAAAAATATTGATTGAATTTAAAATCCATTTGTTGAATAACTGGGCTTCTTTAAGACAGCAAAAGCCGAAGAAAATTTTTCCCTGTTACTTTAGTTAATAAGTTATCCTATGGGTTGAAATATTCTATTCTAGACTTACAACTAATACAATATTTTATAGAAGAGACTACAAGAAAATTCTAGAAACTTCATCAAAAGCATTTAAAAGTATAAAATTGATTACAGTAGCATGTACGAATGCTAGAAAAGAAGGTTATTACAGTGAGAAAGCCCCCCTTTAAAAACAATTCGTTCAAATATAATTTTCATTTTAATGCCAAAACTAACTCCCACCCCGAAGATCAAATGTTTATAAAGTAATAGTCAGGTCATTCAGTTTAAGTATTTACAATACTGTTAGTGAATAGTTTGTGTTTCTTTTTGTTTAATTGTTCTTTATTTTTCCCCCAATTATTAAACAGATTGTTAAAGAAGAGTTAAAAAGTTTTACTAAAGATATCGAAGAAATAGAAACGAAAAATAATTTAATTTATAAAATAATAAATACGAATGAAACCCATTAAGTATAGCTTTTTTTTAAATAACTATATTTAACTGCATGTAAATTCTAATTTAAATAAATCAATTTAAAGAAGGAAAAGTAGCCCAGCAAGATGAGCAAGGAGGAAACATAATTTAATTCCTAAAATAATAAACGCACATAAATTCCGTTAACTATATCTTTTTAAAATAACTCTCTCTACATTCTAATTTAAATGTAAAAAGAAGATGAATGAATTAAGAATTTGAAAGAAGATGAATGAATTAAGGATTTAAAGGAAGATGAATGGATTTAAAAGATAAATTGCTTCCCTTTTTCTACTTATTATTATAATAAGTAGTTAATTTATGATTTAAGAACTTAAAATTTTCTTCCGTTTCGGTCTGGGCTTGTCAGTATCCGCGTGAATAAGACCACTGAACATTAGTATTTAATCCGGTGTTCGAATGTTGACGAATGGGATGGTTGCTTGAACGTTTTCTTGGTTTAGTTTATGTGTAATCTGAATACGAACCCTAATTCCCTTAGGAAGTCCTGCACGAAGGCATCCCTCCACTAGGAAGATAGCCTTCGCTTGCGTTGCCATTGCTTAAGAAATGAAATAAAATAATTCATAGTGGCCCTGTTTTATAATACCTTTTCATCAAAATCAATCTTCCTAGCACGTAATCACCTTCGAAAGAAACCTGTGCAAAGATTGGACTATTTCAGCGGAACCGAAAGCTAGTTCCCTGTCCTGAATCTTTTCAGAACCCCAAACAGCGAAGGTCTGCGTTTGTAAATTTTACATGGAGTTTTCCATTTGGCCTTAAGAGGTTTTTCAAACGTAGATGACCCTTTTTTTGTTGAAAAGCAACATTTTTCTGCCGTAATTCACGACTGGAGAGGTGGGAAGGAATGTTTCAAGACTCTCGGTTTTTTGCAAGAAAGATATAAACGCCGAAATCAAAAACAAAATTTAGAAAATTTTGACTTAATAAGGCCTTGGTTTATTTAAAAATTATATTGATATCGAGCGAATCAGGCAACATAGATTCAAATTCTTCAAAGATCAGATATGCTTTGCATTTTCTATATTTTTTCTTACCTGTTACATTAAAAACAGTTAAGATATGTTATTTCGCTTTATGTCTTTCGCCTGTCCATTTAGTTCAAAAATCTATTTACTTAAATCCTATCTATTTAGTTACTAGTATGCTACTTTTCCAGCCTTTTCGTATACTACAGTAAGTTTCAGATGTCAGTTTTATATTTGATGCAATAGCTTTTCCTAAGGATAGGGGACGGTTTAAAAACTACCTTCAGCTTCAATGTAAAGAGTTTTATTTGGCAATTTTTATAAATAATTATGACTGACTTTTTACCCTTTATGAGAAAATAAATAAAATGATAGTCAGTAATACTATTAATATAAAAGAATTCTGGAAAAACTTTGAACATTCTCTGGCAAAAATATTTTAATGATATCAAAATATCCGCTTTGTAAGATAAATGATCCGCGTTTTGTTACATGTTACAAAAGAGATCTGAAAGCTCCGTATGACGACTTAATTTATTTATAAATTTACTGTATAAAGGAATAAAGAAAAAGAATAAAAGGAATGAAAATCATTTTAACTCTTTATTATGACACTATTCTTATAAATTTAAAGAAAAGGCCTTATGTATTCTCACGTTATGTCTTTTATTTATTTATTTTTTTTAATATTTTCCACTTGATAATTATGGTATGAATAATGTCCAATACTATGAAATTCCTTTGTAAACCAAAAATAACGTAGCCGAGAGCAACAAATTAGTTAAGTACTGCAAAATCCCGACGTCCAATTTAGAATCTTATTTCAGCCATGCTAAGGAATCAGAACTAAAATAAACAAAGACCAACCTCTAAAAAATATCAACAAAAAACAACCGAGTCCCACAGCCTCTGCCCCGTGCCTTTCCTTTATTTACACTTTAAGGAATTGTTGGCACAGAAACCGTAGGAAGGGAAGGAGAATTACAAAGAAAGCTTAAGCTTGCTGAGATAGACACTTTGCGACATGAGCTCTTTTATTCCGTAGGCCCATTTCAGCTTTTCTTCACCTATCCTGGACCTTCCCGCTGGCACTTTGGATTCTATTTCATGAGTAGTTTTAAAATAATACTTTCAAACATTTCCTGTCTAGTTAGTGAAATTTGTGATTAATAATAATAATAATTAGCGCTCTTCAATAGATAAATTTTACAATAAGGAGTCGATAATATGGAAAAAAAAGGAGATAAAAAGAACATGCAGTTCAATGGTTCAGCACAAGATAATTGCGTGAGTAAATTCTCGTTCCTTATAAATATATTTCTAAACTATATGGATTATACAGGTGAGTGTGGAGAAATGTTAAAGCATACCATCTATGCAGGAAAGCTTTTTTTCTGATTACAAACCAAGCAAGGAAAAATATTCAAAATATGCTCAATTACCAAAATGTAATTATGCGCAATTTCTGTGGCATGACATAGATCATGGGACTCTGAAAAACACCTGTAAAAGATATGCCTAAAATGTGACACATTTGAAAAATATTAAATTGAATCTGATAATGAATGACATATTGTAAAATTTACAAGATGGATTACTTATTTTTGTAAAAGGGAATAATTACTTGGTACTATAAATATTACTATATTTAATATCTAATATTTTCTCTAATATCTAATAATTTTAATTCAATAATATAATCTAGTAAATTTAATGTGATATTTGGTAATTTAATCTTAGAGTTTAAACGTGTGTTTAGGTTAAAAAAAAGCAAAACCTTCACAAATAAATAAAATAAAAGGAAAAGTATTGTGTTTTCATCCTATGATATATATATATATACATATTTACACAGAAATACATTTCTTTCTGTTTTATGTCTAAACATAATTGAATTTTCTTATCCTCTTGCAATTAGATAGAGTTAAATTTGCTGCATAGTGATGTTTCTTTCATTAATATAGCTTTGCGTTTACTTAAGCTGTAATTATTAATTTGCAATCATGCAAAAGTTAAAATGTCATAATAAATTCAGAAATTGTTGTAATCAAATTATTTTTAATAACAGTCTTTGAGGTAACATCTTTAAAGACAGATAAAAGAAACTATATATGTGTTTGTGAGTACTCGCGCACGCACGTAAATACGTGTTTTCTAAGTGAGTAGAAAATTAAAAACATTTAATGTTACTTAATTCCCTCATTTAGTTCAAGTGGAAAAATACATTAAATTTGTAAAAGAAAAAACTTGTAATTAGACATAAAAACAATGAAGACGATTTAATCCCTAAAAACAAAAAAATAAGAGAAAATCATCGTAAACATTTATACAGTGTACTCATAAATATCAAGATTGAATCTCGAGAAATACCATGTAGTAAAAGAAACAATGGATAATGAAATGTTTATTGCTTCTTGCACGTCTCTTGGAAAGAAAGACACATGTAAAATTTAACTTTTTTCCAACTCAATTTCGCACACAATTTTAATCAAATGAAATGAATTCATGACTTATTTTTTATTTTTAATTATATATTTCTTTATTCGTTATATATTTCTTTGCAAGTTTAATCGTTTGCTCCACATACTCAGAATAAGAAAAATTCATTACAATAAATTCTCTTATGCTTATAAAATTTGCATTTGCATGTGAACCTACTTTATAATTGCTGCCGCTTAATGAGCATTTGAAAAGTTCTGTTATTTTTGTTTGTATTTTCTCTTAATTGTAATCTCATATACCTGTGAGAGAGATAGAAATAGACATAGATGGGTACCTATGAGATAGAGAGAGACAGTTGATATTAAAAAAAAAAGACTTAAGATGCATTGCAATGAATTTTAATACATTAATAACAAATGCATTTCAATAAATATTAAAAGCAAATTTGGAACTTCTCCTAACATTTACATAACAGCATTTAATTTAATTTAATCCTATTTACATAATCCTAAAATTATAATTATCTGATGTATTTATATAATGAAGAATTATCATTAATCGATAATTTTTCTCTAGCACATAATTTAACATTTAAAATTAAATAATTAGAATAAAATAATGGAATCTTAAAAATGTTATAATTCTGAAATTTCCGTGGAGTCTTTAGGAGAAACTATTAAAAAAGTTGAAACTTTTTCTTCTTCTTCCTTTTTTTTTTTTTTTTTTTTTTTTTTTTAAGTAAATTGTTTTCTGCAGAACACCCTCACTTGCAGCTTCAAAAACATTTTAATTAAATTCTTTTACTAAAGTGTTAGTCGCTCTTTCGAAAATTTCGAATGTTTAATCCCTTTAATTATAGCACTTTCGTACACTAATGAAGAAACGCTGCAATCAAGCAATTTTTGCTTCAAAAATTAAATGCTAAGTATATTGATATAAAACCTATGTGGACCATTAGATAGAATTCCAGTTGTTTTACATGAGCAAAAAATTAAGTGACTTCAAAGCTTAGTTATTTTTCAGCTCAGTAACGAGTGCGGAACCTCTTCTAGGATTCCCACTAGTGGTGGTATTGAAAGGCATCTATGTGCTGAGTAAGTAATTTTACAAAGCTCTGCTTTACATTGGATATTGAAGGAATACGTAATATAATAAGAAACTCTGAGCAGTTGGATGAAATTTTTATTTCATAATCCATAAGCAGAACATCGGATTGAGGATAGATTAAGTGAATCATAAAAATTGCCATGTCATATGAGAAATTGGTATCTTACAAATGGAGTTTGACTAACGCTGCTTCAATCGTGGAATTTTCAGCTGCACATCTTATAGATCAAGATGTAACAAATATTATGCAACACAAATAGTTTTTAATTTGTTAAATAACAATACTTTACGTTACTGGAAGAGAGGGACGATGGAGTATTTTTATTTTTGTCTACTTTTTATTTACATCCACGTTAAATGTTTTTATAATATCCAAAACTTTACATATTCAGGATATTACAGATATAGCATAAAAATCGCTGTATTATGGGATCTTTAATGAATTTTATTAATCTGAAATTGCATCAAAATCTAAAATATGGAATAAATAATAATCAGAATTGATAACATGAACAGCACTGATTAAATTTCATACCAAAGACATAAGAAATCGTCTTACTATAATTAAAATTTTAGGTTACTCCCTAAATCAATTCATAATTTTTAATATATCATAAGTATAGCTAGAAATAAAGACTTGCGTTAGTCCATTAAGCATAAAATCCTGTGAATTTTTATTGCCAAAATCGTAAACCGTAATTTTTCCTGCATTTCCTGATAATGTCACATCTGACTCAGTTGGATGCTAAAGTAAAGTAATCACTGACTATATGAAATCAATACTTATAAACCTCCTTTGATTACTTCTAAAGCATCGAAAGATGAAGCAGTTTCGGACATTTCCTACAGGTTTTATTAAGAAGTTATCTGAATGCCATATTGGAAATAAAGGAGAAAAAAACAGTATCAGAGTATGGTAGTTGAAAATGCAACCTTTTCTTGTACAGTACATTTGGTTATGGTTCTTGGCATTGGCTGACGTAAGAAACATATGCCATGTTTCCCATTCTTGCAATTAGACAAGTCCTAGTCAGTCAATCCTTATACAAATCTGAGTCAAATCGTAGAGAGTTGTAGTAGATTTTTCGAAGCAGAAGACGTGAAAAATGTGAAATCCTCTCCCCGGGACTCGAACCTTGGCACTTGAATTGGCGCCGAGTGTGCTACCGTTACGCTACGAAGGCATGCTGGAAGGAGGGAGAAAATACGAATACTGATATCTCGACTGAGAATCAGAACTGGGATCTCTAAACCTTCAGATGAGAGTATTATCCTCAGATAGTGAGTTAGCTTTAATTTCTTTTATTTTATTTAGCTATATTATTTACTTAGTTGCGAAGTGTGGTATTTAAAATCAACAGGATGCTCTAACTTCCACAGCCTTCTATCCTGAGAATGAAGAATAATGTCTTATACTCTCTGCAAAAGAACTTCAGCAAACTCGTGTTTTTGACAAGTTAAAATTAAATTTATGGCGCTAAAAATTACACTATCGTACTATTATGTTTTTAATTCTGTTTGCTTACTATGATTCATTTTTCTAGCTCTAAATTACACAGTGCCTCAGTTTTACACTATTTTGCTCTGAAAATGTTTGTTATTAGTCCAAAGGGGCAATTTACCCTGAAGGACTATTAATTTCGTTTTGACACTTTGCGTTGGTTCATTATAAATGTCGGTTCACTTTTCAAATTGTTGCCACCAAATATTATCCGCCCTTAAACATGTTATTATTTATAGAAATTAAATAATAAAAAATCTGCATAGAATGTATTGTATGCTTTCTCGCATTGGGAAAAAACAACACTACCTACAGCCATCGAAATTTCGAATAACGTAGTCCTTCTACCCGAACATGGACATCTGGAAAGTCCGGAATCTTGAATTTCGAAATTTGTTTTAGTATCGATTTCATATTTTGTTTAACACATTAAAACGAATTTTTGATTAAGAAACTCAACGAATTTTAAAGCGAGCAGTGGCAACATACTATGCGGAAAAAAATATTTTTATCTCCAGCGCGCGAGACTGTGTATAGGAAATTCTAAAGCTTTGCTCATTTAAAAATTATTTTGCGATATTGCTGTTGAACTGAATTTTATGGTTTAAGTGCAAAGAACATGATATTTAATAAATAAATGTAACATACAAAATGTTAAAAAAGTCTCATTGAACGTAATTTAAAATCTGAATCCTTTCAGATTTTCTTTTTGTTATATTTTTATTTTTGTGTGTGTGTGTTTTTTAATATATTTTATTTTCTTCCTGTCTAAATATTTTGATGAAGAATACACTACAGTTTCCTAACTGTGGTATGTAAATGCCTAGAGTACTTATAAACTCTTCACTTCCATTAGCAATGGTAGTAAAAGACGGTAGATGTAGTTTTGAGAAGTCTTAAATAATTTGAAGTAAATCAGTATCGAAAAAAATAAGAAATAGGTTTAATGAAATGCACGACGAAAGCAAAAAGGCGAGATGTATTCACTTCATTATGAAAGACAGTACTTTTATTTAATTAAGATAAATTCCTGCGAACTGTCTGCTGAAGGAAAGATCCGCTTAAAAAGAACTTTTTAAGAAAAATAAGTCATTTTTTCGTAGCACATGGAAAAACAAATAAAATACCCAAACAGCTCTGCACTGCTGAGGTGTGAATCTAGAATGATATGATTAAAAGTTTCGAAGCGTCAACTACTTGGCTTAGTGGTTCGCCTACCGAAAGCGAACTGCAAGAA